AATACTACAGTATAAACTCAATGTTTTAATAATTACATTTGTCCTGGCGTTTGGCATCTTTTTTGTGTCACCAGCATACTAAGGCCAGTCTGAAATGATTTTATAGTACCAACTCTAACTAACGAGGCCACATGATCATGGGTTTATCTGGATCTTTACGAATGTTTAATTAATTCCAGTAATGCAAAAAAGTTACTTTTATCATTTCATGTATAGATCAGTAAAAAAACAAATGACAGATTTTTTCGACAAGACATTTCGCACTACATTGCGTGGCATAGGATTGCTTGAATTATTATTGATATTGATTTTTAGTAACTAAGTCGTTGTATAATTATATTAATATACAAACACATGGAAATTTTCTGTTCGAAGTTGGTCTTCGAATTTGTCATATTGACTGCTGAGCTTATTGTGTTTTTTGATTGTATTGATGGAAATATGACAAATTAAACAATGTGCTTCAGAATTTTGTGAAGAGCAGAAATGTTACAACTCCCATTTTCTTCGAAAATGCCACCTTCTTCATGTACTTTGCGTTTAATTTAATTACTCAAGTGTTTTATTCAAGTATTCTTTTGCTAGCTTGATGTGTATTCTTAATTGGGTCAAAATGTGGACAAAAAAAATTAATATTCCAAAACTACTTTCAGTAAATTGTTTTCTGTGTGAATAATCAATTTCACTTTAGAAGGTTTGAAAAATCTATTACATTTAGATAAAAAAAAAACTTCCAAAATACTATTACAATTATTGTTAAGCGTTCGAGGGCCGCACTGGAAGTTCTCTGGGGCCGCGAGTTTGAGATCCCTGGTCTAGATTGAAGTTGTTCAAAAAATATATGATAGTATTTTATCATGAATGATGATTATACCCCTTCCGGAATTTCTTCTATAGTACTACCAAAAGTTGATGAACCAAATATAACACAGGTGCAGTGAGGTACCCGTAATCCTCATTTCCAAAGCTGTTTTAAGTATGTCTGGCGTGTTTTGTGCCTTTTTACAAATAAGACCGCTTATGCAATCTTACGCTTTGGAATTTTTAGTTATTTTCCTCAAGCCCTGCAGGATGTGGGGGCCATACACAACTCTACCGGAGGGTCAAATGTCTTTGCATGCCTCCATAGGTTGTTTTTCTATTTTCAATTGCATTATATTTCTTGGAATCACACTGTCACTGATATGTCGCCAGACTTCTGATATCTCCCCGTCTGCTATAGTTGTCCTGTGAATAAATAATAGGAAATTGAGATTAGACGAATAGTTGAAAGTTTTGCTTTATGTCGGCTTAATTTCTTGATTGATATACTTACTATTTCTGCTATTGCCTCTTGTGCTGCAAGAGTCTCACAATGCTTAGACAGGTTTGTCCACAACTTTCACATCTGAAGAAAGAGAGGAGATTTATTAATTTTCGTTAAGAATAAATAAAGCAGTCTATATGATTCAGAATGGAAAAGCTAATAAATCCAATATCTCATGTTTTATTTAAAAAATATTTTACTGAATTTGGTATATAAACCAACTAATAAAAGGGTTTAGTCAGAAAATTACAAGCATTCGTGGCTCCAAATACTTGAGAAATCAGACTATACAATATAGACCGGTATGAGTGAAATGTTAGGTGAACTTGTTAACACTTTGATTCAATACGCAAATAAAAGTGAATGCGTAATAGTATGTTACAATGAGCAGCAATCAACAATGAGTATATATCCTCACTGATTAAAAAAATCTAACTGGAGGTGCATGAACTATTTGAAACCATAAGGGGTAAGTAAATATGTAATTTCGGCAAATGGGCAACTACGTACCGTACTGAATTAATAACTTCGTAGTATTTGACAAAGGCTGACTTTCCCACATGTACTTAACAGTGCGATGCCCGGGTGTGATATACAACAATAGTATTCACCTTACCTTTTACCGATTTCTTTTTACCCCAACTTTCAAAAATATCATTAAAATCGACAACAACTGTCAAAGCAGGCACGAACACCATTCGTGCTACGCCTTGAAAGCAGCACACATCCGCTCGTTTTCGTCTCGTCAAGTATGTGCATTGGAGCGTGCTATCGAATACGATCTTCGGACAAAAATGCCGGAGTTGCGCATCATGTTGTTTAATGTCATTGCCAGTACCGACCTACAGTAGCTGTAGTACTGAGCAAGACAATCGATCGCGAAACCGCTTGAAATAAGTGTAAAACAGTGTTCCCATGAGTAAAAATAAATACCGCGAAATTTTGTATGAAATATCATATCTCATAGGATTCATATAAAATTTAAGAATAAACAAAAGTAATAGCCTTCTAGCGAAAAAATTAATCTTTAACCACTGAAAATTTCAAAGCAATTGGTCCAGTATTCGAAGAGAAAAGCGACTTTTTAAAAACGTGTCAAAGAACAAGAACAAGAACAACAACAACAAGAGAGCTATGCTCAAATATATGGACACGTAGAGTCACATAATTTTGATGACGTCATAGCGAAAAAAAAGTAATAGCCTTCTGGAGAAAATTTTTATCTTTAACCACTAAAAATTTCAAAGCAATTGGTCTAGTATTCGAAGAGAAAAGCGACTTTTAAAAACGTGTCAAGCGGTACTGAGTTAGCAGTCAGGCAGCATCTTACCTGTACACTGTAGGCCATATACGGTAATTGATCACAGAACAGTTGTTCCCTTGCAAATTTTATGTTGTTTACACTTTAGGACAGATAATTGATCACAGAACAATTCTTCCCTTTCAAATTTTATGTTGTTTCCAGTAGACTCTCATCAAAATAAACAAATATAGTAGGCTACAAGTGCTACAACGCTTGCATTACTGCACTGGTAGGACCGTGAAAGAATAAGTTACGGTAATTTCATTGTGGTAAGACACCGGTACCGGCACCAGTACCAGTATCGTACTTACGTACTGAGCTACCAGTACCGGTTAGCAGTCAGCCAGCATCTTACCTGTACACTGTAGGCCATATACGGTACCGTAATTGATCACAGAACAGTTGTTCCCTTGCAAATTTTATGTTGTTTACACTTTAGGACAGATAATTGATCACAGAACAATTCTTCCCTTTCAAATTTTATGTTGTTTCCAGTAGACTCTCGTCAAAATAAACAAAATATAGTAGGCTACAAGTGCTACAACGCTTGCATTACTGCACTGGTAGGACCGTGAAAGAATAAGTTACGGTAATTTCATTGTGGTAAGACACCAGTACCAGTATCGTACTTACGTACTGAGCTACCAGTACCGGTACCGAACCTGTAGGTCTGATATTCCGTTCCGCATACGATAGGCTATAAAACTTGCATTGCAGCATTAGTAATACCGCGGAAGGAATAAGTCAATTTCACTGCGTTACGGTACCTGTATGGCAACTTACCAGTACCGACCTACAGTAGCTGTAGTACTGAGCAAGACAATCGATCGCGAAACCGCTTGAAATAAGTGTAAAAACAGTGTTCCCATGAGTAAAAATAAATACCGCGAAATTTTGTATGAAATATCATATCTCATAGGATTCATATAAAATTTAAGAATAAACAAAAGTAATAGCCTTCTAGCGAAAAAATTAATCTTTAACCACTGAAAACTTCAAAGCAATTGGTCCAGTATTCGAAGAGAAAAGCGACTTTTTAAAAACGTGTCAAAGAACAACAAGAACAAGAACAAGAACAACAACAACATAATATTGAAACGATCGTTATGTCCACTATCAATCAATCAATCAATCAATTTTATTTCGGTCGCTCTGGTATAAAACAAAAACAATAACAAACGAACAAACACAAAACACCGAGGACCTGGAGGACGGGCATAACTTAAAGAAAAGTTAAAAACGTGAAAATACGCGCCCGTCCACCAAAAACAGTCAAATAACACAATAAAACAAAAATACACGATACAGAATCGGGCAATAACTTCAAATAAATAAATTTGTGAATAACAGTAATGAGTTTATTTTAAAGAGGGGTCGTACAGATGAAGAACATCGATATTATGTGTAACAAGAAAATGAAGTGATTGTAGGAATAACACTGCAAATGGTAAAGGAAAATTGTGATTAGAATAAACAGGTCGCTTGAATGAAGACTTTGTTCGAACATTAAATGACTGATAAAAATTGTTGAAAGAGGTGCTTTTGGGTGTTGACCAACTAAAAAAATAGTGCTGTGATGGTGTGGTGTTTATAATAAACTATGTTAAAATCTTAGGCGAACTGGAAAGCTATTCAGTGCCTTTCAGTGGAACCTTTTAATGTTAAAGAGTCATCTGAACATAGAAAAATGAAGCGCCTGAACTGGGGCAACAGTTTGAATATAATGTGAGATGGAGCCAATATGATTTCGAACCAGCTCTCCAGCCCTGCTTGCACTGAAGTTGAAATTATCAAGAATTGAAAGAGTCCTATCTTAAGAATTATCTGGTCTACCATATTTTAGAAAATGAAATCCACTATCCCAGGACAGAATCATTGTATCCGTTCCAATGCTTCCAACATTAATATCGAATTTCCACGAACGACCACCATTCCAACAGGTGCAGTGGTCCCATCTTTTCTGCGCTCTGTTCCATCATCCACAACTAGATTCATGAAAGGATCGAAACCTCGCAATATATCCGTAACAGATCGTTCACCATTTAACTTTAAATCCAATGTTTTATCCATAAACTTCATTAATTCCGGTGGATGGGCTTTGCTCATGTTGATATTATGCCTATTGATATTATGACACTACGTGTCCAACAACAACATAATATTGAAACGATCGTTATGTCCACTACGTGTCCAATAAGAAACGAATCAATATCAGGCAAATATGCACGAAAAATCGACGCCAATAATTGATTTCTGTCAAATCGTAAATATATAGCCTACTACTACAAATACAATGAGAAATGCATATTTAAAAGTTGGATGTGTATGGAAGTTGGAACGAGAGAGCCGCAGAAATGAGAGAGAAGCACTCTCTCTGTGGTTGTATTGTCAAAATGATGATGTCATTATATCAGCTGTAGTGACAATCGGAGTGCCAGGTTAAAACTAAAACATGTGATACATATTACATTCGTGTTGCGTTTTGTTGCCCCATTTTTGTCGATGACGGCCTTGACAAAAATGGGAGTGTAAGGTTTATGGCGGTCATTTGTAACTTCATATATTGTATCAGTCGATAATGGAAATATTTTAGATTAGTAGGTACAGATTATGGTGAAGTGGTTTGCCGGTAAGCGAAGTTCATTTATTATTACACTATCATTAAATTTAATGTAGATGTCGCGGGACAGTGTTTTCTGATGTTGTTTAATTAGTAAAGTTTGCTTGCCTGTCCATCTATTTTAATAGCATCGGTAGTACCGTATAGTTTTTCACACGCTTTTTAATAATTATATACAGGTATATTAGTATTACAGTATTCAGGTATTATAAAGGCTAAATGCTGAAATTTGGATTCAGGGATTTTATTTGAATTCTAGCTGTCTGGTATTTCAGAATTTGGTACCGGTATGGGTTAATGGTATTACTTTACTATCAATGGTTTATTATAAGTCTTATGTCTGTATGACTAGATACCCCATAGTACAGTAGTACTGTAGTATTTGCATCATTCTGTCATCAGTTCATTATTATGGTGTACCTGTGATTCTGTTGAACTAGTCTACTGGACTAAAAGTTTAACCATAATTTCTTTTCAAGGAAAGTGGAAGTGGGCACTTGTTGGAGTTGCATCTTGTGCAACAGGAAGCAGTTGCCTTCTTTATTTTGAGATAGAGAATTTGAAAAAAAATCTTCATCCGTCATTATCTGTATTAGATAGAGAAAAATACAGATCTTACATATATATTAGGTAAATTAATTGACTATATAGTTGCCAATTGTTCCCCTGCCATTGTTTTTGTCATTATCTTCAAAGCGTGCTTTTTTGAATCGGTAAATTGTGCAATACTCTGATCCTTGAGTGTGGGTATTAAGCCAGTTACAATAATACAGTAATGCTGTAATAGGTACAAAATGGCCTTGGACTAGCATTTTATAATAACTCGGGAAGTATTTTGTTGTCTTCAATGGCATATGCATCAACAACTAAATGTTCTAATTATATGTAATTTATAATCAAGGAATTTATCACTTTCAATTTTTTCTACATTTGTAGGCCAGAACAATTTGATCTTCTGAACAGCCATCACTGGAATGAGAAAGGCTTGCAACATTTATACTCTGAAATTGAAACGTATATCATCAATCATATTCCACCGAGTATAGGTGAGTTATATTTAAAGAATTTTCATGTGATCACTTTCTACCTCAATTACGAATCTTTAGACAAGCAGTTATTTAAATATAGGTATCTTGTATTGATAGCTTGTATGTGCAGTAGGCACAGTTCTCCGATTCCATGATGTTCTGACATTCGGTTCAATATCAAACACTTTATTTGTCTTTGAAACGGGTGTTTTGGCAAGACGGCAGTCACGTTAGATTGCGCCATGCTTGTCTTGATAATAATTTAAACCAATCGCACCAGCCGCAACATGATTAAAATTGCTATAAACTCACGAATGCTATGATAGAAAAAAAATTCTCTCAGTTAATCAGCCTATATTTTTCCAAAATGTGAGTTCCAACCAAACAGGTGGTATAACAACAATACTAAAATATACAGTAGATAAAATGTAAGGGAAATAGTTGTATATGCAACTCTAATGCAAGTATATCTAAGCTTGAATCGTTACATGTAATACACATACTCTGAAAAGGAAAACTGGCAAAACCTCTAATTATGCTGCGTGGGTTCGAAACCCATGCGGGATGGTTATGTGCGAGAGGATTGCTGGACTCCTCGTCGCAGTAGGGTGGTTCACGTAACCGCTGGTCGGTTACGGCTTCCTTCACCATCAAGTCCATGCTTCGAAAACAAAGAACTAACTAATCCCATACCTGACATGGAATGGTAACCGACGAGAGGCCGTGGCTCGCCATATGGTTAAGCCGTCTTATCGGTTTTCCTCCCCCCGGGATAAATATGTAAATCCTTATCCTGATACATTTAAAAGATTTTATTCTAATAATGAGATTCACACTCATTATCTCTTTTCCCAGCAAAGCATCTTCCAATCAAATTGTTGAAAGGAAGAGAACTTCAAGCACAACGATACTTATCACCATGGCAGTTGTTGAAAGAAGCTTCGACACCAAGTTCTAATATTGCACAAGATGTCATTGATAAAATAAACAACCATAAATGGATGGGTTAGTATTCAATTTCAGAACTAAATTTATCTATGCCCACTCGTCAATACTATTCCATTTAATTATATGTTTTGAAGTTTTGCTGAGATAATATATTATTGCTGATTGGCATAAATACCTGATTTAGAATGTTAACTAATAATTAGTGTTGAAATGCTTAGTTGGAAAGTTTCAATGTCAAATGTACCGAATGAATGTTTTGAATAGTAAGTTCAATCTATTGACAAAGAATTTATCAGTTTCTATTGTAGTTAGCATGGTAGACATCAAAAATCTACATTTAAATATTAATTATACCAATTGTTATTATTTGCAGCTGCATTTTGTGTCCATAGATGAGGGGTTTAGTTTAAGTCAGAGTAATAGATAAAAGTACTAATCATTTTCAACAGATGATGATTCAGAAAATGAAGATGAAAACTTTTTAGACGGTGAGATATAGAGATGAACTCAGAGAAGGTCTAACATAGCAGTATTCAGTTAGACATACATAATGCAGATCTAATAAGGAAGGATTTTATATTTGTCATTTAGTTTGTTGGTCTCTAGACTTTTTTTGCAGATTTCAGATCAATGTTGTATTTAATTTATTTACAGTTTTATCTAGGTTAGAATTTATTATTCTGCTAGAAAGATAAGTCAAATTTTCTATCCCACAGACTATCTTTGCAGATTGCTATATCAGAAAAGACTATCTTCCATTTTGTCTCTTCAACACAATGGTGAATTTTCATCTTTCCATACATTACTCTGTGTTTAAATTTCAATGATACAATGAAATCTGGTTTAAAATTCAGATTCAGATATTTATATCAGCCATGCAAAACCAATATACGATATGAAATAAATAACCACATGTAACAGATTACAAAAAAGGAAATAGGCTTGTTGCAGATGATGAGGGGTGTTGGAAAGTCTGAAAGAGTCATCTAGTCAACGACACCTTGCAGCTGAATTGAAGCAGTAGATTTTACAACGAACAACTCAATATTAAACATTTACTTAATTAAACACAATCATATAAGGAAAGAACACAAAAAATCAAATAAACTACGAGATCTCACTATGGAATATTACTTAAACATTTACTTGATACAAATAAAAAAAAACAAAATAAACCTAAACTTTTTTGTAATTTATGCATCTATTGAATGGTTTCATTTATGTCAAACAGAATATGAGTATCGCTTACTTGGGCAGAATCTGGATCCACTGTATTTATATGCTCTCGCTCGCACAAAAGGAGTCGACAAGAGGTTTTTTGTTGCACCTCGTCCACTGCCAATTTTAAAAGATGATTCAGCCATAGGTAAGTTTTTTTGCTATAGTTATATCAATTACATTGTATACTATTTTGAGATATTTACATGTCTAAAGTGGAAGGATATAGAATGGATACAATTTGTCTTCGCTATAATCAATAAGTTTGCTGGATTTTGAATTGATAAGAGAATTAAGTGCTATATTTAAAGTGTTTCTGTTTCAAAAGCTAAAATAATTTATATTATTATTAAAATTGTATTTTTGAAGAATATATGTTGTATGACATGCTATTAAAACTACCATCACATGATGTTGAAAGTTGCTTGAGATTTTTCACTCATGGTGCGTTGTCAATTAGTGATGAAAGACAACTAAAAAAGGTATGTTGGTTATAGTGAATATAGTCCTCATATGTTTTAATATTGCATCTATGTAATTATTCTGTAATTTATTACAGGGAGGTCGATGGTGTTTTGCTGGTAATGGATTAAACTATGCAAGGGAGATTGTTTCCCAGGAAAAAGTTGAATCTTTTTGTTTGCAAGCCCTTGTAAAGCATTCCAAGGTACTAAACAACAGTATTAATTTATGATGTCATATCAGATTATCAGTCCACTCGATCCAGTGTTATGGCATAACTGAACTTGGTGTTGTAAAAGGATAATATATCGGTATATATATACTTTTACATGAGTGCAGTTGCAATTTAGGTGCACTTTCGGCTCTGTATGACTTCTTCAATATTTATATATCTCCCCATTTGTATCTATGTATTCCCATACAATTTAAGTTGAATACATTCTGCATCATATTACCCATCATTTGCCATAAACAACAAACTGCCAACCTTAGAGAATGTGTTTGAAGTATTCTGAATAGATTTTTTCATCCCACCTTCCCCAATAATTTCAAGTTCATAGAGATATATTTATGCATGAAAAATGAACTTAAATTTGCAAGAATGCATATTTATAAGTCTTAGATTTATCATGCTATCCGTTTCAAAAGCTTAGCAACATCACTTTGAACCACCTCAACTTAACCTTTTTTTAGTTATAAATATCAACACAAAGCAGTAGCTTCAATATACAATACAATGTTCTGAATCTGAAGCATGAAGTTTTGTAAAAAACTATTGTTTAATTTTTAGATTCCCGATCACTGTGAAGCCATGATAGATCTTGGTGTTCTAGACATGTTACAAAGAATTCTTAATGATAGGCCAAATGCATTGAAAAACCAGAGAAATGCTGTTAGGTATTTAATCACTATTATTTATTTTCTTCATTATCCTTTTGTATGTTAATAATATGGCGCTCCGGAAGTATGTGTACCAATATGGAGGTGCCGGTAACTAATTTTGTTCTATTTTACATCAAGTTGTGTAAAGGGACTGAAACCTATGGGCAGGAGGGGGTATATTCACTTGGCTAACTCAGACAGTCCCTGAACTCATAATAGAACTAAAGTAAGGAAAATCGGAATAAAATTATGGCCTAACCTTAACCTGGTACACATATTGCGGGAGCACCAATAATATTGCCATCACAAAAAAATTGGCATTGAGCTATATCAGAGATTAAGTTAGTTTTACTGAATTTAAATTTGGAAATGCAGGAAAATTAAAATAAATAACGATTTGATATATTTCTCATTTATACTGCCTTCAGAAAGGGAATAAAATGTGATTTGGTCGTACTGGGAGAATTCAAATCATACTATTCTGAATTATTGTAAAATACGAAGCATAATTAAATTTGAATCAATTGAAATATGCAGTCCATTTCAGACATCCGTGGTGCACTCAGGTTGATGTGTCCAATATAAATCATACTGACTTCTATCTATACTTTTGCATAGAATCATCAGTAACATATGTGTGAATGAAAACTTACATCCTCGTATATTGAAGTCTGGTTGGTTATCTACTCTTGTACAACTCTCGGACTCGAAACTATTGCATCTAAGGATGCAGGTAGGAATATATAGCCTATATATTTCTCTATGTAATTTATTGTCCAAAGGCTCTAATTTGCAAGTCATTGATTTCAAATCCAATATGCAGGCATCAAGAGCACTTGCTAATCTGGACAGAAAAAATGTTGAAGAAAAATATGTGGATGGTGTTTATCTTATCCATCCAAGGCATAGAATTGAGTATGTACTATGTAATTTTTTTTTAATTTTCTAATGTGTTTATTTTAATATATGTTATCGTTTCTACCCTCCCTGAATAGCCTTGCGACCCACCAGTGGGAACTGAAAAAGGTCGGGAATCACTGGTTTTTACTACACCCTGGGCTAGTTGTGGAAAAGTAGATTATCAGACTCATATGCACTAGCCGCTACCAGACCATTTAAGTAATTCATTAGATTTGATAATGATCACATAGTAACAAAGATGTATTATTCACATGGTGTAAGTTTGGTATTCAAATGGATCAAGCCTACATGCTGTTATTCGTGCTATGATATGCTATAATAAGACTTTCAAAGTACAAAAATTATTAATTATGTTACTTCCCATAGAAAGGAACCAGAAGCTGATGTTGTGTTAATTCATGGATTGCTTGGCGGTGCTTTTCATTCATGGAGGCAACAAGAAAGTGACTCAATTGCTGTTGCTAATTTCACTGAGTGCTGGCCCGAGGTGGGATTAAAATACATCATTTCTCAACAAAATCTATTTTAAGATGTTTATCCTGGGGTAGAAGAAAGTCAATAACACGGCTTAACCATATGGCGAACCACGACTCCCATCTGGTTACCAGTCCATGTTGGATATAAGATTAGTTGGACAGTTATTTGTTTTCGGAAGCATGAACTTGATGGCAGAGGAAGCCGTAACCGAGCAGCAGTTATGTGAACCACCCTACAGTGGCGAGAAGTTCAGCAACCCTCTCGCACTTAACTATCCCGCACAGGATTCGAACCTGCAAACCTGTGCAGGATAATCAGAGATGTGAGCATGTTCCTAACACTTACATGATGCGCCAGACCGCCGAGCCTAGCTTAGGTATCCTTTTACAGCAAAGATGACATAATAATGTTTTGCATTTTATGTTTTGATCTTTGAAATCCTATAGTAGGACAAAAAGTTCAAATCTGGAAAAATATTTTATTTGAAAATATTGAATTGGGTGCTCCTAGAGCTGGTATTTAATAATAGTTTGAAACAGAATTCATTCATCAAAGTATTTCAATAAAAAAAAATTTCAGAATTTTAAGAATTAAATATGCGTGTTTCGGTCATTTTGTCAAAGCAACCTTTTTAAGTTTAGCCATTTCGTGTTAATGGCGAATGCCCTCGATATGCGCCTCCAAGTGGGGCCAATTTTATTAACGAGGCGCAGATTTTTTAGTAAGAATCATTGTAAATGATATCTGGAATCCATTAGATTCTGGATGCGATTTATATTCAGTAATCCAGAAGAGTATGTAATCAAATTTATGTTATATTTTATTCAGACCTGGCTGCCAAGAGATTTATCTAATGTTAGAATTTTGTCTGTGGAATATGATACACATTTAAGTGATTGGATGCCACATTGTCCGCATGAAAAACAAACGAGAACAATATCATATAGAAGTCAAGAAATCTTGGAAAAGCTTAAACTTGCTGGAGTTGGAGAGAAGAGGTAGAACTTACAAAATTGGAATTTGGTATTCATAGTTTGGAATATTGGTGAAATCGGCATTGTCCTACACACTGAAAGTAATCAGTTTACTAAACATTTCATTTCCATCAGATATTTCAACAAGAAAAGACTTTTATTAATCATAGATGAAAATAAAGTATTTGTTAAGAATAGGGTAATATTAAAGATTTCAGATTCAATATACAGTGATACCCCAGTAGTCGAACATAATTTGTGTGGGATTGGTATTTGACTACCGATTTGTTTGAGTACCATAACTTTTTATGCCCTACAAAACAATGGAAATTACATTCTTAATTATCTTTAATATATTCTTACGCATTCCAAAATGCCAGAAAGAAATATTGATAAAAAACGTGTACTTGAACAATGATTATTATAATAAAGATACTGATGCTTATTGATTGGTCTAAATACGACCGGGATTCGAATCGAGAAAAATAGGTGGCGTCATCTTACTTGACCACGTGCTTGGTTCGGATACCCGAGCTCCGAATTTCTGTTCTGAGTACCGCAGCATTTGTGCCTCAAATTTTTTGGTATGCTACCGAATTGTTTTGAGTTACGGGACGTTCGACTACCAAGGTATCACTGTATATTTTTAAGTCGCAGAATATCTCTATCGTTGATTCCAATTCAAAATAAAAATTTTCCAACTGACTATATATATGCATATTAGTCAAAAAAAAATATAGGTTATGGTTGATACAAACAGTCGAGTCAATAATACAAAGATAATGAGTGAATAACATTTTCTGGCTTTCTGAAGTAATATCAAATAATGATTTGATAGTTCGAAATTTTATTGCCTAATTTTATTGTTCATTGTCGCTTTTGTTTTCATAGACCTGTCATATGGTTAGCTCATTCAATGGGTGGATTGGTTTTAAAAAATATGATGCTTATTGCAGAATCTCAGGAAGAGAGATATAAGGAGCTTCTCAATAACAGCAAGTAAAACAATTTTTTTTTGACAATTTGGTGTTTGGGCTGGGACTTTCATTATTTGCATAACTTGGGAATCTTAAACCAATCACAAGATAAATGGCTGCCTACAAAGCTTTGTTCTATCCCAGATGTGGGCAAGGTTTTTGGACCAGGGGCAAAAATTTGGCCCACTTAGACTGGCGGGCCATGTAAGTGTGACGTAAAAAGTTACATTTTAAGAACACCATTTACAGTGTAAAAAAAGCAAAAGTGGAAAACAAAAAGCCTCGTGCCAAAACTAAATTTAATCGCAATCTCAACAAATTTTTGAGCTATTTTCAGCTAAAACATCGAAATTTGGTTTTGGCAGCATGAGGCGGACCCGATTGAATTACGGTACCCAACGGGTCGGATTTGGCCTGCTTGCAGTAGTCTGCCCATGTCAGTTCTATCTTCATAGCATGCTTAGGAGCATCTTTCTTATTTGCAGAGGGATAATATTCTACTCAACTCCTCACTTTGGATCACAGTTAGCTGAATATTCAAGAAAAGTACGGAAATTGCTTTTTCCATCCATAGAAGTTATGGCTCTGAGCCATGGTATGATATCAATTTACATTCACTGCAATCAAAATGAGAACTAAATAAAAAGTTTCTAAAATGTCTTAACAGATTCTCCGCAGCTTTTGTATTTGAATGATTCTTTTAAGCAACTTGTGTTGAATTATTCAATAAAAGTTCTGAGTTTTGGTGAACTACAATCGACAAATATTGGATTCGGTAATTTGAAAATACACATTGTGCCACCAAAATCTGCAGGTATGTTCTTGCTTATCTAAAGACCATGTTGCCTTCAAACATTGCATTGGTGTATGCTTGATAGTCCATAGAACGACGTATTATTTTGTGTAGGGGAATCATATGGGGTATAATTATGTGCGAGAGGATTGCTGAACTCCTCGTCATTTGTAGTTAGTAAGGTTGTAGTTTGTAATATGGTCAAGTCGTCTCATCAAATTTCCTCTTTTCGGGATGAATTCCAAAATCAAAACGTACATGTGTTAATTTTGTGCATGTTCATTGTTCTGATATTCTCCTGTCATTTATTTTTTTCAGATCCTGGAATAGGTTCTCTTATTCTCATGGACACAGATCATCTAAATGTATGCAAACCGATAAGCAGACACAGTGGAGTATATCTCAATACAGTGGATTTCATACAAGCTTGTCTAGCAGAAAGTGATGAAAGGGACTTTTGTACTGATATAGAAGAGTTTATTGACGAAGTTGCTGATATTTTAACATAACGGTTTGTCTCAGATTCAATAAAACTCGTATAGATTGGTATGCTATGTATATAAAATTTCAACAACCTCAAAATATTTTTATTATTTATTCTTGTGGCTCATATACGATGAAAAAAACTGAAGAGCCCATTGTTTCCTTGACAGCAGTTCAATCTTGTAGGCTGTGTAAAATACATTTACCGTACATTTGTTGGGGTAGTGGTACTCTTTATACTTTGGTTGAGTATTTTCTTTATAGTTCAAATGCGTGAATGCTCTATCTATCCTTTCCGAAGAGCTGTTGCTTATATTTTTATTGTTTGTTTTGCACATGCCATAATTTTATATTTTTGTTTATAATGAATAAAGTGTTGGATGGTTCATTACTTTAAATGTTCTATCTTAATGTAGATGTGGTTATCAAAGCAAAGTAAGGGGTGCTCCTGAAGTATGCGCACCAAGATGTCGCATAACCTATGCGGATAGAATATTTTTCGCATTTTTTTTGATATTTTTAGCATGATAAACATGGTCAAGATTTTTGATAATCGTTCACTGAAATTTTAATGAGCGCGGTGTTTCCGATGACGTCATTCTCCCTATACCATGGGATTTAGCCAACGCGCCGTGCTCTGTGGGATATGCGCTGCAAATGTGGCGCTAATGTCGCTTTGGGTACGGTACCGGAAGCGTTTAACATTAACATCCTATAACCCATACCATTTCTATCACGTTTGTTCACTGGTTTTACCCATTTATACCTGTACAGCTAGCCATCATTTACTGGAGGCATGCTGACATGTTATTTTTCAAACAACCACGACAACTTACCCCATAAGTCATTTTTAGGAGTTTTTAGAAAAACGTAAAAAACTTCTTAATGATATTGTTAAAAAATCTTCTTAATGCCATTGAGAGTCGATAATTTGCCATGGTTTAATTTTTTGATCGTAGCCGGATTTAAGTTATGTGACGTCATAATGGCGCACTGTGACTTGGGCAGAAATGTGTCTATGACTTGGGGACATACGCAATTTTGCAACTTGACTATATGCACCAGTCCTGAAAACCAAACATTACATAAACGAATGTAATTCTCAGTATCTACGATGTCTAATCCCCAAAATAGCAAATCTGTTTCAATTACATTATTTTTTATGTTTAAAAATATATATTTCATCAATATAACACGCTCTGCACACCCAACGAAATTAGACTAAGATTAAATATAAAGAATAAAACAGCAATGCAACCTTATATAAAAGCCAACCAAGGTGAATTGGACTCGGACAGTAAATATCACGAGTGCACGCCTTCCCACACTATAGTATAAGCGCTAAGTTGAATCTCAGATGCAAAAACTCAAAAATACTTAGCCGAGGTTATTTTGCCTTTGTGACGTCACAATTGCCCCGCGTTAACAATGATAATTCATTATGACGAAACAATTGCATAAATGTGCATGTCCTACAAAATCTCCATTTTTATGGGTTTCGGAATTCTTAAAATAAAATCCGAGTTAACAGACAGGTGCGCAGCATCACATAAATACCTATTTTATAAAAAACTCAAAACTGCCAAAAATGACTTCGGTTCGGCAATTCGGTTATTAGCCTGACGATATTATAAAATGGCCCAGGGCTTCCCAAACTAGGGGCCGCGAAACGAATTCGAGGGACCGCAAAGAGAACACCAATTTTACACAAAGTACTATATCTATTGCACTTTTTCAGAAATTTTCAACACTTACGGCTAAAAAATAAGCGAGGCTTTAGATCTGAATTGTATAATTTGAATAAATTTCAAACGAGAATATCGGTCAGAGACCGAAGATTTATCGATCGAAAGTTTACTCCGGGTACACTTACATAATCAAATTAACAAATTAAATGGGACATGAAAAATACAAGTAGGCGTGCGTGCAGTTATCTGTATATTCAGTACTCGTTCGTTTTTTTTTTGCAAGACCTTATTACCGATCAATCGATCGCGAGCTATTTTGACGATTTTAGTCGATCGCGGTCGAAAGCAGGTTCGCCACCCGTCCACCCCTGAATTATAAACGAACAAAAAAAATCTTAACAACAGTCAGTGAAATCACATTTAATGGGCCATGGTAGAAAAGCCTGCTTTATATAAATGCGAAATAGCAAAAGGGATGGGGTGCACAACGCTTTTTGGACCGAGGAAAAATAATTTTTATCTATAGAAAACCGAACTATCAGAATTGAAATTATTCATTATAACACCATCAAGGAATTTTTCGACGCCCTAGGAAAATTAAAACGACGCACTTCCACGGGACTAGGTAAAAAAAATTGCGCTATGGACAAAGTTTTTTTTAGGGGGAGCGCTCATATTAAAATCATTTTTAAAATTCAGGCTTGGTCTTTTTTTTTGGGGGGGGACACGGTAGAATCATCGCGCTTGCATAACAATGCCGGCTTTAATCGCTAAGTTAACGGTTGCGGAAGGCGATTTGCTAAGTGCGTCTCGAAACATATCACCTAATGTTTTATTGTTTCTCATCAATGCAAATGATGTGTATATGAATCAAATTCATTTTACCGTTCTATTTGTTTACTTTCTGTTACGTAGGGTATATTGTTACGTAACGGGTAAACCCCACACAATTTCGTAGGTCGCAGTTTATTCATTTGCTGAACCGAGTTTATCGAACATGAGTGAGTTTTCAGCATTTAAAGAAAAACTAGGCAGAGTTAAGGAAGAAGGGTTAACCCTTTGCCTATATTCATCAGGCCTTCATGTTTATAAACATCAAAAGGCATAAAGTACATATCAATGATGACAAAACTGTGTTTTATTTTGCGGCAACATATTTTTCATAGATGTGCGCCATTAGTTTTTTCCCGGATAATTTGGTGCGCACAACCCCGCTGCCTTATGCTAAGTTTGATCAATAAGAGTGAACAATTTCGGATAAGGACCAACCCCTCGGTGGCCAGACATCGTAACTCGTCATTTAGGCCTGCATAAACCCATTACATTGAATATTTGAGTGACGTTAATATGAGTAAAGATGTGCTTGTTTTTGTTATTGAGTAGCCCGACTAAACGTTGAGAATTAGCTGTGTCAATAAAATACTAAAAATGCATATTTCGAACTGCTTAGCATTATTAGCGTTGACAAAGGGCCGCGAAAAATTTTAATATATTAAAAGGCGCCGCAAGCTCAAAAGTTTGGGAAGCCCTGATAGCCTATTATTACGCAGAACATAACGCATCCCCAGGTGTCTAAGCAATAAATGGATAAAACACTGACAATTGATGCACTGTGGCGCATGTCCCACTAAACGCCGGTCCATTGTTCCCCCGAGCACCAAATATTTTCAGAGTGCTCCATGTCAAGATTAAGAAGACACATCCACTCGCCAACGTAAGGAATATTTCACAGTGGACTAAAGTTGAAAATGCCAGACAGTCTATTTCCTTGTTGGAAAGACTGAAATATAAATAGGAGAATACTAAATCGGCAAAACTTTACTATCAACCCCCCAAGTATAACTTCCCCCGATACCTTGAGCAGCTCTAAGCGGCCGCTGGCCATTTGTGGGTAGTCGTAACTTACAGAAATGCGAAGTCAAACATCGAAACACATGCATGATTTCGGATATAGTATGAGCGCGAGAGCTGATTTTCCACTGGGCCTCATGTCCCACCTATCCCCATTTCATTTTCTTCAATTCACTGAGAGATCGTACAATGTATGGAGAATTGTATAAAGCAGTTTATTTGAACAACTTAATTGGAGAAACAATGCCAGTTTTAAACGTCTTTAATAACATTAATTATTTGTTTAAAGTATATTTTAGCATTTTTATTTCGTTGATTATTTGCGTAATTCATTGAAAATCAGGAAATGGTTCTTGTATCCTAACATTACCACAACAAGTATTGCAGGCATTAGATAAAACAAACACATATATATTGATGGTATAACCAGTTTAGAATTAAACCATTCATCGAACGCGGATATAGCACCGAGGCCTAAAACATTGGAAGCAGCCTTTATACGTCAAAACCAAAATATGCTAATTGAGATTAATTGCTATAACAGTTTTTACCGTAAAAAATTCTTTAATGTTTGAAAAAATAGGGGGAGGGGTATATAGGGTTAATTGAGTAGGGGAAAGTGGGGAAGGTTGGGACACTTTTTTTCTTTTGCATATTTTGAGTCGTTAATTCTGCATATTCTCTTAAGTTTGCGGGACTAATGCATAGAGGGGTAAATGTAGTTTTTATTCAGCAACAAAGAAATTCCCTTGCGACACACATCTTACTACCAAAATGCTTTGAAAAACGTCTGTCAAGTGTCCCACTGTACCCCACTTGTGGGGCACAATCGGACAGACCCTGGGGCACAATGGGTCAGTCTGTCAAAATTCAACGAAGTATGCCCTTAAAAATAAGCAATTAATCAGCATAATCGTCTAAAGTACGGGGAGACTTCGAATTTGAAGATTTAATATTTTTAAAATCAATGTTCAACTGAAATAGTTCAGATATTTTGACAAAACATTTTGCAAAAAAATTTGATTATTTCCTTCTTCGAATCTAAATCTGGAAATATTATTGATTCTCGAATATATTCCATATTGGGCCATGGGTCGAAAGAAACCATTATATTACACAAAATATAACGCATCTCTAAGTCTCTAAGCACTTATTGTATCAAACACTGTCGAATTGTGCCCTGTAGAGCATGTTCCACTGAACCCAGGTCCATTGTTCCCCATAGGAAACAAATACTTTCAGACCATCCCACGGCAAAATTCGGAAGGCACAGCCAATCGCTAACGTTAGGAATATTTTACAGTGGACTGACGCTAAAGAATATCAGACGATGGTTTGTCTCGTTGGAAAGGCTAAACTAAAAAAAAAGAAAAAACTGGAACGGTGAAATTTTTTTTCAACCTCCCAAAACCAATTTCACCCCATAGCTTGCGCCGCTCTACCCGTTCGCGGGGACGTTGTAACTCACCGAAGGGCGGATTGGAACATCGAGCCGCGGACAGGATTGCGGATATAGTATCAGTGTGATACTATATTCCTACTACTACTTCCCCTACAGGGTATATAAGGTTCACTAACTTTTCTGTATACTGAATAAATGATTTGTCTTTTGTACTAAATATAGTTCATATACTTTTGTTTCATTTCATTGCATATAGCTCGCACTCCTGAATCATGAAATTGTTTTAGGTGTTTGCATGTGAAGTTTTTTTTGTTTGTAAAAAATTGTTTTGGAAACTTTCATATGACCATTCTCTGTTTGTGATGCCCTTTAGTACTTTCGTAAAGACTCTTTTTGCCCCAGTTGATAATTTTAGTATAACTCATTGTCTCTTTGGGAAGTGTCTGTGGTGTAAATTGAATATAGACGAG